GCTTCGCCCGCATTATATCGAATTTTCTCGTGGGAGTAAGATATTTTCTCGCAGTAAAATGTAGCCTATGTCCATCTCCAACATATAAGCTATCTCTGTGCCAAATTTTATTAAAACCTGTTCAGCAGTTTAGATGTGAAAAGGTGACAGACAGACAGAATTACCTTCAGATTTATAATATTAATATAGATTAATATGAATTTCTGCTATAAGAGGTACGCGAGTTTGAACTCTTTCTTGAAGTGGTACACAGGAAAAACTAATTGGGAACCACTGCTTTAGACTAATTATCAGGTTTTTAGGTGCTTGCTTTAAACTTAAAAAATTCAATTCTGNAATTTCTGACAACTTTTGAAAGACTGGCCCTGAGCAAAGTCAAAAGAATTATAAAAAATATTTTTAATATTAATTTATTGAAAGAGTATATGGTATGTCATAGGCTGAGAATTGAAAGTAGGATTATAAAATAAACTCAAAAAGAATTTATCTTGAATAGTGCCAACAGAAGTATAAAAGAAGGAAATTATAGTCTTTGTAGCAGCAATTTTCTTAATTACAGTTAATATAACACACTTAATTAATAAATTAATAATTGAGTTTATTTATTAAAAATCTTTTAACGAAGCAAGAATCTTTCTATTTAAAAAACAAATGCATTTTCTTAGTTAAAATTATCCATATAATCTGTGTTAAAACTAATCAATTATACTTGAGTTTTAATAAATAACTCAAGTATAATTGAAAGTATTTGTCCATTCCAATTTTTTTGCAGACATCATTGTTGTAACAGGACAGTGCTTAGTGATTCTGTTTGCTTTGTTGTTGTTGTTGTTGTTATTATTATTATTATTAATTTTTTCATTGTTAAGTAAAGAAAACTGTGTTGTTCCAATAATGGCAGGCAAAGCCTTGATTCAGTGCAAAGTTCTGATTATGGCTTCTAAATTTTGATGGTATTCAAGAAGAATATGACAGTGAAAGAGAAGACGAAAAGAAAAGAAAACTATGAACTAATTGTTTTTGTAGTAAAATAGTGAACTGTTTTGAAATAGCTATAAAATATTAAAAGCAAGATGAATGCACTGCTGTACAGTTTTTTAAACTGGGAAGCTTTTTAGACTTAGCAACTTGGAAATGAGTTTATCTGTTAAACAGAATTGTTAAATTTTTTCAAATAGTGTTGTAAAAGTGTTAATTTATAATTACATGCTTTAATTTTGTTTTATCTATTTTATAAATACTTCTATATTAAAAATCACTATTTAATAATGTTTTTCAAAAGATAAGAATAGATAAGAATGTTTTTCTCATTCCAATTCTCTAAATTAGCTTAGACAATCAGCATTCTACTACAGTAATACCTCGACTTACACTACCCTGACTTATGTGAACCTGGAGTTATGCGATTTTCAAATCTCGTCGATTCGTCTTTTGTTTGAGCGCCACGCAACCCTTGGTTACTCACTCCTTCCCACTATTGTTCAGCTTACATGTTCGGACGTGTAGCGCAGAATTGACACATAGCTACAATTTATTTTGTGTTATTTATTTCTGTGTTTGTTATATCTATGGAGACTTGAGAGACTTTACTATGTCATCCAAACGAAGTAGAACTAATTCTTCTGCATCAAACAAGAAAAGAAAAACTTTATCTTTGGAATGTAAAGTTAACATTGAGTATGTTTGTAAAGTCGAACGAGTTAAGCGAGAATGAAGTCATCGTTATTCCTATTTCGTTAGACTTTTTGAACGATTTGTTACTAACGCGTTTAACTCGTTTGACTTTACGAACGTACCCATTATTAAAGACTTCGATACAAAAATGAAA